TAGAAAAAGAGGGAGAATATAAGAAAAGCAAAGTAATTGTAAGAGAAGAGAATCGCGGGTATTAGTAGATTGATTGATTTATTTTGTTTTTTTTTATGGCTTATCAACCTTTTGCAGGTTATTTAAAATCAGAAAATACTATTGGATTTATGAATTAGTTGTAGATAATATCGATTTACTGATACAATACTATTAAATTAACCCATAGATAGGATGGGAGAGGTGAATTCATAATTTTCTCAAAGACACTTGCCTGTTAGTGAATATACCGAACAGGACTGGAATGGAAACCCGGCTCGCTGAATTCCTATTCCTAGCCTTTATTCTTCACACAACCAACACATCCAAGCTTACAGCACCAAGGCGATCGGCATCACCTATCTAGATACTGAACAAGTTTGATGTTGTTTATCTTTGATAAATTTTTACCTGATATTATATATATATATATATATATATATATATATATATATATATATATATACACAATCACGTACAAAAATAGTTTGACCGTTTTAAATGACATGACCTTGAAGTGACTTGATATTGTTCCCAGCAAACGAGTGAGCATCGGAATTAGATAATCACAGTTTTATAAGAAATTTTTGATAACGATTTAAGTAACTGTTAAAAAAGAAAAAAAATGGAATTTAAAATTTTTTTCCAATTGTTTAAAACATCTTAATCGAAAGTTGAAAAGACTTGTGATTATTGCTATATAAAACTTATTTAAAATTATTCTTGCTGCCTATATATAAATATATATAATAAAAAGGCTTAAACACTAATGTTCCATGGTCATAATTTATTCCACTGGAATCGTAAATACGATCCAATTCATCAGACCTACAAATTCAAAAAGAAAACAGAAAAAAACAACTCCGGAAATAAAAAATAGAATTTAGAAGAGTGTAAGTATGATAGTGTGGGACGAATGTTAGAGCTATAGAGAGGGGTAACAGACGAGAGAAGGTGGGAGATTAAAACTTAAGAGAGAGAAGTTTTAGAGAGGTGAGTTGAAGACGGTTTAAGTGAGAGAAATATGAATGTTGTCGGATGTCTAATACATTAAGGATGTAACCAGAAAGAAATACATTTTGTGGTGACATGCACACACAATAGACGATCTAATCTTAAAGATCAGAAGAAGAGGGAGGGAGAGGAAAAGAAAAGAAAAAGGGGTGGGGGAGAGAGCTCGGCGGGGAAACTAAAACTGAAGGGTATTTACTGAAAGGGCCGCTGTGTAATTAAGAAAATTTGTCAAAATTAATATCGACTACAGGTTACAAATCAAATATAAACATAAAAAATAAATATAATGATTATCTAATCTAGCAAGGACCTATATTTTTACGTTCAAAAACACATGCGTATACACACATACATAATCACATATACACGTACATACATACATATAGGCGTGTACCCACATGCACACATATATATACCCATGTACACATACACATAGATTCATATATATATATATATATATATATATATATATATATATATATATATATATATATATATATATATACACATCCACTCCCACATATATATACAAATTTACACACATATATACATACGGACATACATACGTGCACATAAACATATATACATAAAACCTTACATCTCCATACAATTACATACACCCAACTAAACAAATAAACAATGTATCCCTATATCTATCCGTCTTACTATACATACATACATACATATATACATATTTACCACTAATATTATACATATATACATATTATCACTAATATTATTAATATTATACATATATACATATTTACCACTATAATATTATACATATATAGATATTTACCACTATAATATTATACATATATATATTTTACCACTATTGTTAATATTATACTTATATACATATTTACCGCTAATATTATCTATCTATCTATCTATCTATCTATCTATATATATATATATACACACACACACACACACATATATATATATATATATATATATATATATATATATATTGCCAATTTGTGACAGGTAGGGGTAACTCCAAGTAGGATATTAATCCAGAGAGGCTCAATGTAAACTACAGAGCCTAATAATAATAATAATAATAATAATAATCAAGAAGAAAACATTAAAGATTCATTTCGGCATTTACTAAGAGACTTCGTTCTGAAGAGATGAATACATAAATATTCACGAAATAAATTATAACCGAAATGAATCTTTAAGGTTTTCTTCTTGATATATATATATATATATATATATATATATATATATATATATATAAACAATCTGGTTAATCGTTATCTAAAACTTATCCGAATACTTCTAAAACAGGTAAATATTTGATCAAATTTAAACAGAAAGTAAACTCGTAGTTTAACAACTAAAATGTAAACAATATTCCCTACTTCAATACTTTTCTTGGAATCAAGTTGAATAAAAAAAAAAAAACTTTGGAAAAATCACTCTATGCAAAACCATACTTAAACGAACCTGGATTCAGATCTCTACTCTCATACAAAACCATATCAAAGAAATGCAAAAGCCAAATGCGGATCTACAGATATCAGTCAGCATCGTGGTGCTTTTTCTACCAAATCATGAACGCAGAATAGCAGAAGTAGAAATTGAATTTTATGTTCTGATTTATGATTCATTCTATGTGTTTACGTGTTTATAAATCAAAATCTAATTGCCTAATTAACAGTCTCATTTGAATTAAAATCCGATTTGTTAAGTCCAATTTGTTCAACTGTAGTAATTTATGGATTTCAAAAAAATTAACAATTAATGTTCTTCATCTTCAAATGTGATATTACTATTTTAGTAAAAGCGAACATTTGCAAAACTGTTTCTAGGGTTGTCGAACAGAAAAATATTGGCATTCACATAGAACAATGTTTAGCAAGATCATTCCAAAGACTGTTAGGCCTACAATGAGTTCAATCTATACTCGTTACTAAGAAACTAAAATCAGTGTAGTAATATGGCAGTATAGCTGGCCACTTGTATTCGAGGATATCCGTCTATTAAGGCGGCTAGCCAATCCATATTGCAGACGCTTGCTCAGGCGTATTTGTGTTTATTCAACACCCACAGAGCCCACTTATGGTTTATACTGCAAATATGCTGAGCAACCCTTAGTTACAGTTTCTGGAAAAGAGCTTATTATTTAGCGTGATCACCAATTTGAACAAGGCCAGCACGCTCAATCCCTCGGCCACAATGACTTGTGACTTTGTGCTAGCACAGCGATCGACGGCACCCAAGGGTTCCGTCTACCCAATTTCACTCACAAGGCTTGGGTCAATATGGCAGTAATTTGACGATAAATATATTAGACATGCATCGGATGGCTAGTGAGTTTGATTCACACTGTGTGTGCTACAATTCTGGCTATGTTTCAGATCAAGCAAAATGAATTAATAGAAGAAAATTATTTGTTTGTAAGAGAAATAGAGAAATAAATGATTGTGTCGGATCTTTATATAAATGTAAATAGAAGAGGAGAGATAATTAAAATAGGTGGAATATATAACGCAAAAGAAAGATAAATTTTAGAAATGTCATCGTCAAAAAGAACGGGATTGAAAAGCAGCCTGAAAGAGATAGAGAAAGAAAAAGTAAACGAAAACAAAAACAGGTGGTAAACAAAAGAAAGTTGAATGAGGGGAGGATAGAAAGAGAGAGAGAGAGAATGAAAAGATTGAGAATGAGAAAAAGAAATAGAAAAAGAAAAGAGATCAGGAATTTAGAAGAACAATCAGTGAGTGTATAAGGGAGAAAAAGATAGCTTGATATTAAATAGGATTAAATAAAAACGTTATTAATAACTAAGGAATCGTTTTGAATGCGAGCAACGGTAAACTTTGCGTTGGCCCTGTAGGATAAGGATTGACTAATTACTTATTAAAATGAGTCAGAGATTTGCAGCCAAGTACGTTCCTTTTGCACTGAATCCAAATCAGTGATGTTTGCACATAAAATAATACAACGCGGCAACAAATATGATAATAATGACAATACTAATAGTGTCTTTTAGCAATGAATACAGTAATGGCGGCAATAAAAAATCATCACTATAAAGATTTTGTTTTTAGTAACAGAATCGATAATAATAATAATAACTAATACAGCAAATTAGTTAAGTACTAAAATAGACAAAACTGAATAACTGAACAGGCAAATCGTACGACAATCTCAAAACAAGTGTGGAACCTCAAAAAACAATCTAAAACTCATTAAAATAACATAGAAAATAAGAAAAAAATAGCTTAGAAGATGACTTCATTATCACGTCAGCTTTGCTGAGGGAACATATCTATAAACACGTTTCCAACACAATACATAAACTCCTAAACAAATGATTAAAGCTCATTTTAAATTCAGACACGACAACAATTTCCTACTATGTTACCTACAACTATATCCTGACAGACCAAACAACTAATGAAACAAAACTTACATGAAATAGATTTTACTTAAAATGAGAAAATTTAGAACTTAAATATACAATAAATATATAAGAGTAAAAAAAAAAATAAATAAAATAAAATAAGTAAATATCATAAACCAAATCAAGATCGGGGATACTAATAATTTTAAGATATTATCTCCGAAATAAAAAGAAAACTGTTAAAACTTGTTTTCTCTTCTTCCACATACTTGAAAGGAAAATGTCCACGCCAAGAGGAGCAATAAATGGCTTAAGTCGTGATTCTGAAAATCCCCATGCGATGTTTTTTTTTATTTATTGATTCGTTTTGTACGTCTCATCAACATTTGTTGGTCATGTAAAACCAGAAAATACCATTACTCTGTAAGATGTTTTTAGATGATAATGTTTTAGTAATACCACTCTTACTAATTAACCCATAGTTATGGGGAGAAGAGGTGGGCTCATAGCTTTCAAAAGGGTATTTGCGCGTAAGTGGAATTGGAACTGTGCTCTACAATTTCGATCAATTATCCATTCCACCATATGTACATGCAAGTTTACTGTTAGTGGTATTCCCAAGCGGTCATCCATCTAGGTTTTGATCAGGCTCGGCGTTGTTTAACTTCAGTGATCATACGGGAACCGGAGTTTCAAAGTGATCTGGCCGTAATTTCTGTATCCATACTCTCTATATCTGCAAACGCACTATCCTCGACACGAATTCCTATAATACTCCTAGATTTTTGGAAACGTGAAGGTGTTATTGGACAAATATAAAATCATGCAGAGAAGAGCATTAGTAAATCAAGACAAGATGTTTAAGAGAGAGAAAGAGAGAGTGAGAGAGGGGGAGAGAGAAATAAAGGGAGAGGGGGAGAGAGAATGGGAGAGGGAGAAAGGGGGAGAGAAAGAGGAGAGGGGAGAGAAAGAGAGAGGGATAGGGAGAGTGAGAGAGAGGGCGAAGAGGGAGAGAGAGAGGGAGAGTGAGAGAGAGAGAGAGGGGGAAAGAGAGAGAAGAAAGTTGTTCTTATATGCTTCTGGTACGGAAACTCAGTATTTAATAATAATAATAATAATAACAATAATGAAATTTAACGTAAATATTTTTTAATGGATTTTATGTAATTTATATACGTATATTTCCTTTTTGATACTTTAATCTTTGTTGTAATTTTGTGTTTATTTTGCTTTATATCATTTTCAGGAATATATATTTCAGCGTAAAAATATAACTCAACGTAAATATCTAATTGATTTTAGTTTAAATGCATGTGATTATAAATCATAATTTATTTAAATTCTTCAGTCAGTAAGTTAAGTACCATATATGTATACACGTATGGGCGATCATTTATCTTTCGATATATGACTGACGAGGGAGATTTTTCCCACAGTAGGTTACCATTTGTTTCTGCGGTTGACTGGTTGACAACCAAGGCTAAAGAACCCAGACTGTTCTTCTATTTAACCCATAGCTGGGTGGGAGAAGACATGGATTCATAACTTTCTCAAAGGTATTTGCGCGTAAGTGAATTTAACAAACTCAATTGGAGTTCTAACTCGGTTTAAATTCTTACTATTAAAAAAAATATAATGAAAGGGATTATATTTCTTTAAAAAATATTATATATATATATATATATATATATATATATATATATATATATATATAAGAACGTTAGCTTTCTGACAATGAAACCCAGGTTCGAATCTCACGACTGTTGATTTGTCTTGAAGGAGACTTCCTGACGTTATCGGTCTGGAGGGAGACAATCTCAGCCTGCGGCACATTTAGAAAGTACCTGAAAACCATACCACGTGTTGACTCAAGCCTTGTGAATGAAATTGGGTAGACGGAGGGTCTTCGATAGCTGTCATCGTGACCGAGGGTTTGAATGTGCTGGCGTTGTTCAGATTACTGGTCATCCTAGTTAACACACTCTCTCCCAGCATTGGTTGATTCTGTAGGAATTGACTAGCCAACTCCTAGAATCCTACAGGCATCCTCGAGTATGAGTGGCCAGCTATATATATATATATATATATATATATATATATATATATATATTTATTTTGCTTATTACCACAAATTATATTTTAAGCACTGAGAAGAAGAATGTGCATCTGATCGCTATAATTGGAATGAGGCTGCTCGAAGTGGTAGGTGTCATTTTGAGTAGGAGAATAGGAGGCACACAAGGCTTAAAAGAGATGTGCGTAAAGGCGTCCCCGTTGAACTTTCTGAAGATACTCGTAGACAGCTCGATCTGACGTGTACTACAGATTGTGGTAGAGTGTGTTTGTCAAATTAATGACATTTTAATTTTAAAGGCATGTTATGAAGTTATTATACTATATTCAAAAGTAACAGATGAATAATTATTATTTTCATTGTCATTGCTGTTGCCATCATTGCTATTATTGTGTTATTGATTTGCATATTATGTAATTTGTATTTGCTGATATATTTGCATTGTAATTGTTATTGTTTAATTTTTTACACAAATCTAGATTTGTTTGAATTTTGATCTCTTTTTTGTTTTTTTTTTTAATTAAAAATCTGTTTCTCTTAACGGCGTCATTGTTTGAATTACAATAGTCTCCCTTCGTAGCCGTCATTGAAGCAAATCGCTGAAAAATACAAGACGGCTGATAGGAAGAAGAAATGAAGCAGAAAGCAATAATAATAATAATGATGATAATAATAATTGTAATAATAATAACGATGATAAAAATATTAAATAATTTCTTTATATATATATATATGTGTGTCTGTGTGTGTGTATGTTATTTCTCTCTCTCTCTCTCTCTCTCTCTCTATATATATATATATATATATATATATATATATATATACTTATTGGAAAGCGCTCAATATCAGTGAAAGAGCTAACATGCTTAGTTGTATGGACGCGAGTTTGTAACCTTGCGGTCGTCAGACACACTTTATCTGACGATCGCAAGGGCGTGAAACTCAGGTTTACAAACTCACATCAATATAACTAAGTATATATATATATATATATATATATATATATATATATATATATATATATCTGTCTATCTATCTATCTATAGGTACATTGATAAAACCGCAAATTAAATTTTAGATTAATAATATTTTAATTTTAGAGACATATTACTAATTTATATTATTTATTCATATATCTGATATGTAATTGCTACCTATTAGTTTTATTAATTTTTAACGCAAATCTTAATTTGTTTTTACCTGATTTGGACAGAGCATTGAACAGTTATTAGAATCTTATTACTGATAATGGGAAAAAGAAAGAGAAATACGGAGAAATGCAATAATAATAATAATAATAATAATAATAATAATAATAATAATAATAATAATAGTGGTAGTGGTGATTGTTCGGTGGTGATTGTGGTGATAGTGACTTATCGGTTATTTTTGAATGGTCTTTTGTTATTTAGTTACTAGTAATTTATATACAATTTTTATTTCATAAGCCATACAATACAAACATTTAAAATAATCTTTTCTTTAAATATTATTAGTATCTATATATTAATTGCATTTATAGCTAACAATATTCGTGTAATAACAGGATGAAAGCGAATTTAATATAGTTTCATATTAAAGTCAAAGAAAAGTCCGTTGAAAATTGAAGTTATATCGTAGTTTCTTTAAGGACAACGTGCCTCCTTGGCATCCAAACACTTATGGATGAAGATTTTACCGTTGTTTTTAATAATAGTATTAGTAAAAAAAAAAAAATAGCAGGAGGAGGTCTTGCCTCTTGAACGTGATGGTCCACCATGGTATGGCCTAGGGACCATAGTTTGAACCTGGCTCTACAGTATACAAAGCAGGTAGCATAACATACAATAATAATAATAATAATAACTAAAATACAATGTACTTTTTAATATGCTTGTATAATTTCGAATGATTGTATGGTCCGCGTATGGGTAAATACGAACTATGCTGACAAAACGAAAAATATTGCTAAACCGCATCGGTCGTAACGCGGGTCAACAAGGACCGCGATTCTCAATGAGAAACCAGATTGTGATCGAAAAGTCTGCAACTGGAACAAACCCTACCCAACAAGAACTAGAAGAAAACGACAATGAGGTCAGTTCTCACAGAGGCCCTCTATATTCGTTAAAAGAAAATCCCACAAAAAGAACAGTAAATAAATTGTCCAGGGAATAGTATATTGAAGTAATGATAGCATTTAAGACTGCTACAATGAATCCGACAATGGCAATAACGACCAAGGCCGCTTCAAATATCTGGCGAGAAGATCTTCCATTAAGCAGGCTAAACATCGATGCCAACAAACTAGCCAATGTCAGGCGTGAGATCATCAGGATAAAAAGGATACCTAGCGTAGAACACGAAAGCATCCGGGAAAACATCAAAAATAGATTTAGAAGGGAGTTAAATGCCAACGACCCAAAGGAGACATACGTTGAGGAACAAATAGAAACCAGTTGTATTAGGGAAATTTGAATATAGTTTCATATTACTGAACATAAGAGAGGAAAAGAGCAAAAGTCTAATAAAATTCCGTTGAAAACTGAAATTATGTTGGACTCCCATATCATAGTATGGATATGCTCTGACCTCGACGAACCAGCCGTCACATATGGGTAAATGCGGACTAACTATAATGCGGACACAACGAAAAATATTGCTAAACCGAGTCAACACGGGTCAACAAGGACCGCAATCCGAGTGAGGAAACAGATTAGGGTCGAAAATTCTGCAAGTGGAATAAACCCTATCCAACGAGAACTAAAGGAAACCACGGCGAGAAGAGTCCTCACAGAGGCCCTCTATATTCATTAAAAGAAAATCTCACAAAAAAGGACAATAAATAAATGGTATAGGGAAGTGTATATTGACGTATGATAGCATTTTACACTACTACGATAAATCCGACAATGACCAAAGGCACCTATAATATCTGGCGATAAAAAAAATATCCCTCAAACAGATTAAACGTCCATGTAAACAAACTAGCCAATGTGGGGCTTGACATCACCAGGAAAACATAAAAAATAGATAAAACGTTAAAAACGAAAGGCTAAATTCAAAAAACCCAGAGGAGACATATGCAGAGGAACAAATAGAAACTAGTTGTAATAATCCCTCTGGGGTACGCAAGCAAATAGATACTGACGAATATGATAGAGAAACAGAGATGACAAAAAACATCCGATATTAATGGGGGAATGTGAAGGAAATGTCTTTCGAGGAAAGACAAACAATTTCAAAAGTAAGAAAGAACCCTCAAGTGAAAGAAACCATCTACCTCGATAATCAGTCAATTAAGAAAAATAGGGGACGAAATAGAAAGACCAATGAACCTTATAGAAATGAATCATCCTATAGCAGTGACACTGGACATGACAATAATCGTAGAAAGAATAGGTGAAAAAAATAAAAACACAGCGAAAACGAAAAATAAAAATGTCAGTCTGGAAAGAAAAAATAGAAACAGGAAAAAATAAAATACGAGGATACTTGTCACTTTTAAAGAAATACAAAAAAATTGTTCTCACAAGCACAGCTGTCACCTTACGAAGGGTTTTATCTATATAAACTATGTTTGATCTTTTTTTAAAAAAGAAAATTGCTCAGTGGAAAGTGTCCTGATTTAAATTTCTGATCTTAGGTTTCTGGTCGG